GGACGCGGTGATGTTGCATCAGCCGCCGTTTACCTGTCACTTCCCTTGTTAATTAATGTTGCTTTTTGAATCAAATTTGTGGTTTTCGTTGCTGTAGTGAGTCATCTTCGTTATCGAGGATCTTTGGACCCCTGTAGAAATCACTTAACACGCTGCTCACCTGGTTTTTTTTTTTTTGTCTGAATTTTTTTTCTCCGTGCTGAAGAAGAGGTCAAAGGTCAGAGTCTTGACCCCGTTGCGGATGCCTTGCACAAGGACACTTCAGCTGCTCGCAGAGAAGGATTGAACCCTCCTCTCCCTCCAGTATTATCTCCTCTCCAGCCCGGCTCAGAGGCGGAGTTCATCCTCCAGATTGCGGGTTATCCTCGTGGCCCTCGGCCCTCGCTGGCGCTCCAGCCTGCAGGACTTAGAGTGGGTGAGCGCTGCTTCCTGTTTGAAACATCCCAGGGATTCAAACTGGCAACCGTCCAACCATCCGACTGGGCAGCTTGTCTGGCCTCCAGCCCACTGCTGCTTGTTCGCTGCGGCTAACAGGTATCGACGGAGCTGATGGGGCAAATCATCATCTGAGAGATTTTCTGTTGCGTTGCTTGGTTTCGGTCCCACGGCGCTCGGAAAATTCCTGTTCTGCCGGCTTCAGATTCACAGACTCGCCTACCTGGAGGGATTTCCAAACGCCTCGCAGAAGACGCAATAACCTTCACCTAACAAAATAAAGCCCCCAACCCTCTCCCTTCGACAACAACAGAGAAGAAAGGAACATGGACTAACTGGCAGTGAAGGCAATTTGTCGCTGGAGCTCGCTCCCCCTTCTCTCCTGCACCATCCAGATTTCCCATAAGGAATGTGCTTTGGTGTAATTCATCACCGGGCCCATACGGCAAACCGCTCGTTCTGGCGGTGAAATATGAGTCAGTGCAGGGAGGCATTTTCACACGGTAGCTGCGCTGGATGGGGTATTATTTTGGCAAGCTCCCACAAGATCCTCCAACACCTTTTTTCTGCTGTTGCAACACGCTGTTTATCAAATGTCTCTAGACACGGGAGGCGCACAATAAACATCAAGCGGCGAATTACAAGCTTTGATTTCCGGCATATTACAGTGTCCCATAAATAAAGGTGCTGAGAGAAAAACACAGCACTCCATCATGTTATAATAACATGCCTGTTTATGAAGATGGAGGATGGCAAGAGCATACCTGCCTGTGAGCATGAGGCTGAATGATAGTATTCAGGCTGCAGGAGGGGACGCCGCGCTCTGCGACATGAACGCCACTCTGCTAATTGGCTGCCATGTGTGGGACCGTTTAGCTTAAGCTGTGCTGCCTGAAAAAAAAACGTGCACAACTTTTCATTTACTGAGCACGCTCGTCTTAAGAGGCGGAACGATGGGCTGCAGGTGAGAGGTTCTCGGCTCTGGAGGAGGTCGGAGAGATCTGTGATGGTACACGTGATGATGATGATGATGATGAAGAATATTTCTGTGTGGATGAGGAAGATGTTTTTGACAGAAAAATAGTGACAGTGATTTGAATTAAGGCTGCGCAGTATTGGAAAAACTAACATTGTGATATTAAAGAATAGAGTAACACCTCGCAGAAACGCGCACCGCTTTGGTCCATGGAAATGTACGATTTCAAACCCATACAGTTTTTATTTGTGGGGCTAAACAGTGATAAGTGATGTTATCAAAGTAATTCTCAGCGGGTATACGTTTCTTGGCACAACACCAGCAGCGCCAGCGACTCACTCCATGTGCAGGGGCGTGGTTTCCTCCTCTCTGATTTTGATTGACGGCTGGCAGGGTAGTCTGATTGGCACCTGAGTAAAGAACGAATGTGATTGGTGGATGCCACACAGCACATGCAGTGTATCTCAGTCAGCTACCCTCGAAATTAGACGACTTCATTCGCCTCCGACATCGCAGGCTCTGCAATGTGACTATCGCGCAAACGTACATCGCCATGACGATGCTCAAACGATATATCGTGCAGGCCTAATTTAGATATATGTAGCGTCTAGTATTGACAGTTAGAGAGGTAATCTGCTCTGTGGGGTGATGTTCATCTCCTTCATCAGTCCAGTCTGTCCGCAGAAAGGTTGTAAACACAGGTAGATGATCGGTGCCGACATAGACACGTGCAGGGAGAGCTGCAGGACTGATCTGCTGTCCTCCTTTTTCAAAGAATTAAAAAAGTAAAATAAACACAGTTTGTTTATGTTTGCACCACAAATCCAAACATCTAAAACTATCATGAGTGTTGTTAAATTCAGGTGTGATAGAAGGACATAATGTGAGTCTGTGTTGTAATGATCTATAAGCGTGCTGCCTCAGCTGCTTTGTGAGAGCAGGTATCAGTTTCTCTGCACGCCTGCCCTGTCGGCTTCCTCACATGGAATTAAAAGCGAACACCTTCCTGTCTGCGGGGGCTTCACAGCGTCAGCAGCATCTCCTCCGCTGAGCCATTTTTCTCTTAACACTGCGAAGTTTAGAAGGGGGGGGGGCTGAACGAGGAGGGAGGGGGGGCATTTAATGCACAGTAAACAACTAAAGCACTTCAAGCCTTTAAGTCCCGACAGGAGGAGAGAGAGAGAGAGAGAGAGAGAGAGAGAGAGAGAGAGAGTCGGATGGAGAGGGATGTGATGGAGGGGGGGGGCAGCGGCGGTGGCGGAGCCAAGGGAGAGTCTCTTTCCCAGTGGGAGATGACAAATGCCATATGTCCTGAGCACAGCGCTTGTGTTAATCCTCGGTGGGTCCCGGCAGGCCCACATCCGACTCTGCGACCTCTGCACCCCCCCTCATCCTCCCAACCACTCCCTTTAGTTCCACTGGGCGGGCGGAGCAGTCGCAGAGGAGCTGGGGCCTTCGGATGGAGGCGCAAAAAGCTCATTTCCGTAGAATACAGTGAGGAGGTGGGGGGGGGGGGGTCCCATCTCAGCAAAGAGAGAATCTCTGCAGCCAGATTATAATCTGGTGTTGTTTGGCTGCTGGAGGAAGTAATCAGCAAAGCTTAAAAGATCAGCTGTTTGTGTTTTAAAGCCAATTTGAGTCTTTTCTTCACGTACCTACTGATTGTTTTTGAACCGGTGTTTACATGCAGTGATGTGCAGTGACCCCGGGGGGTTCATCAGGCTTAAGGGCCGATGCCCACTGTGGCCAAAACCTGCAAGAGCAAGATTGAGGTCAGTCACTCCATGCAAACTGTCCCAAAAGACGTTTTCTAATCTTGTACCGGAGGATGACTAATACAGGGTTTTTTGGGGGGGCGTGCAAACCTTACTGTGGTCAACATGTTGGTTTTTCCTTCGCCTAAATTTATTATTTAGCAGTTTACACGTGCAGGACTTGGCAAAGATACCCAAAATTCTGCATTATTGCACATGATGGTCTCAGTGACGACACTCATAGGTGTCTAAAGTGACGTTTTGAAGCCCAATGATGGAGGTTGTCTCGGTGTAAATCCAAAGAGGTGAAGTTTAGTTTTACTGTAAAAAAACAGCTTTTTGGAATAAACATGGCCTTCAGGGTTTCTTCTTTCTTCCCTTCTGCTTTGTCTTAAAGCAGCTTCCTCCGAGAACCTGCATCCACTTCTTCCAACTGAACGATGGGAATTTACAAACCAAGCGAGCTCTGAGAACTGCTCATGCTTTGGCGTTTTCAAGGATTGTCTTTGACCATTTAGCGCCTCTGAAAACGGTCTGACCTTCAGCTCAGACTGATGTCTTTCCCGTTAAAACGATCGTGCTTCTTGTGCGGAGGTAAAACACTCGCATGCACTGAAATCAAGATAGAAAGTCAGATTTGGAAAAGGATCAGTTGTTGAGTTTGCACATTTTACTCATGTCATCTCTTGAGCCTGATATCAAACCTGCCTCCAACGTGAAGAAGATCTCTGTGCTGTTTACGATCATCACCTTAGAAAAGTTCTGGATGTGGTTTCCTCTGACGGACGCCAACACGGAGCAAACCTCTTAAACTTGATCTCACTGGAGTCCATTTTTAGAACAAACCTCAGCGGTTACACAGAATAGGCTGATGACTCCAGCGTGTCTGTGTTTGGCCTGTTTTTAAGACTCGGAGTGTTCCAGCCATTCGTCTCTGCTCAAAGCCTAAACAAAAGCTCTGCCTCGGCCTTCGCTGAACCCTGAACGGGACCCAAGCTGAAACCTGGAGGCCGTTCAGCTGTAATGATGTGGTTAAGGAATGAACTTTCCTCGCTTACGAGCTGAATCAGCACCTTACCTCCAACAACCCACAGTCAGGGTGTGTGTTTACTGCTGCGATGTGATGCTGCAGACGGGAAATAAACTCGATTAGGATCCTGATTTCAACACTTTAGGATCGTAAATCTGTTCTGTTGAGAACTGTCGGGCACAAATATCATATTTATATTTATAAAAACATGTTTTTTAATATTTCTGGAGCTTTTGTTGCAGGTTAAGCCGCATGAGTGAATACCTGCAGGTCAAAAGGTGCCGCAGATTCATGCATTACCTGCATATTTTGACTATTCATCCATTTGAGCTTCTTCTTTATGGAAATCCAATAATAAAAATGCAAAACGAGGTGAAAAATTGGTAATTAATCTGCGAGGCATGGCATTACCCAGCCCTGCCCAACCCTGTTTGCCCGGGCTAACATTAAGGGGCTAATTTTCAAAATCTAGCGTGCAGTCAATTTCCCAGGATGCCTCGGGGGGTAAAAGGTAGGGAATGACAGGAGGGGCTAATTTTACCCGCCTTATTTACCCCTATGTATCATCCAGCAGCTCTCATCTGACAGGAGTGATGGCGGGATTGAAATTAGCCCAACTGTGGCTGGCGTTGAGAATTTATGACGCTGCCTCGGTATTTGTTTGTTCTAGGTGTGTGTGTGTGCGTGCGTGCGTGTGCGAAAAGTGTGTGTTTTCAGTCTAGTGAATACATCAGAGAAGAAGAAGAGAGGAGGCGCGGGGAAAACCTGGGGAAATACATCTTTTTAATAACAGTCAGCGAGGTTAATGCAGCTTACCTTGGAGTGCCGACAGCAGCAGACGCAGAGAGGAGGAGGAGGAGGAGGAGGTGAGGAGTTATTTGACAGGGGGGAGACAGACGGCGCACAGAGAGACGTTTAAAGCAGAGTTTACCTACTCAGGAGTCAGGCCTCTGTGTCTGATCGCTATTTGTTGTACAGAAAGGAAAGAAAAAAGCAGCGGAGGGGGAGGAAGAGGAGGCAAAACGGGGAAAAAAATCAAACTCTTAATACTATTGTGCGCCTATAACCATCTGTCACAGCTAGCCTGGAGATGAGACTGAGATTAGGGGGAATAAACGCCGGGGCCGCAGAGCATCGGTAAAGCCTTCAGGGCAACAACAACAAAAACAGGAATAAAAAAACAAGGTGGAGGGGGCGTAAGACGAAGAGAAACGAGGCGAAAAATCAAACTCACAGGGGACGCTCTAATTCTGAGGCACTCATGGATTACAGATTGTAACCTGCGCTGACAACGCAGGGGGAAATATTACAGCTACGGCGGATATTATGGCGAGACTTGGAGGGGTCTGGATGATGATGTTGATGGCGGCGGGGCGGTGATGATGATGATGATGATGATGATAGTAGCAGGGATGATGGCGGTAATGACACCACTCACGCTCACGTTCCTCCAACAGAAATGAAAAGAGGAAGGAAGTAAGGAAAGGAGAGAAGGTGGCAGTGTCTTCTCCTTCTTCTTCCTCTTTCCCTCCTCACCCTCCTCCCCCACCTCCCCCCGATGGATGCCATCGGCTTAAGCAGAAGCATTTGGTGGCTCCTGAGGCATCCGTGGATCTCACCCCCTTTAAATTTACCGTGAAGGTTCTTAGACTCCCTATTCAGGCGGGATATTCTCGTTTATTGCTTTTAGAAGACAAACCTCACAAAAGCACAGTGTCACCGCTGCTGCAGAGCACAGGCCGGGAAGAATACGCCGCTTTTTCTCTGAATTATGATGTACAATATGACACAGAGAGATTCTTAAGGTGCTTTACATTCGGGGAATTTAGGTACGGAGCATGACGCAAGAGAGAAGAATGTGATGTTCCTGCTGGAGAGGGTTTTGTTGTTAATGAATTTGCACCTCAAAGCAGCAGCAGCAGCTGTATGTGCAGTGAAGCTGCAGAGAGCGTGGAGGAGGTGGACGACCAGGAGAAAGCTGCGAGATTAGGAAGGAGGTCAAGACGTGATTTTGACAGTGGTGGTGCAATATTTCTGTGGAAAGACAACGTTTTTATTGTTTAGAAATGTAGTTGGAGACGGATGAGCTGCTCCTGTTGTGCTCCAGTGAATTATCTATTCTCAAACCGGGGATTGTGACTCTTATGGGGGGTCTGGAGGTCTGATGGGGGTCAGGACTAAGTTTGCACTGCAAGTTAAACATGGTTTATTTTACAAAGAGCTGCCCGGTGAACAAAATACTGACAGTAAACCAAAACCAACTCGGCCTGATCTTTACTCAGTCTTGATCCCAGATGTCTTTGTCCTGCCAGAGCTCAACATGAGGTCCTTAAAGAGACAGTCACCTGTTTTTATCTCAGCATGACACCGGTAGATCCTCAGTGAATGTCCGTCAGATATCCAACCTAAAACTAACTTCACCGCCATATTTACAGGAAAATATATCCAACCTAAAACTAACTTCACCGCCGTATTTACAGGAAAAAACATTTGTTACCTCGGCTGATTTTTTTAGACCCACACATCAGTCAATCAAATTCAATCAAATTTTATTTATATAGCGCCAATTTACAACAGTCGTCATCCCAAGACACAGGTCTAGACTACACGCATTGTTTGATGAATTATCAAGAACCAACCTAAGATGGGATTTAACCTCATCTAACATGAGTGACAGTGGAGAGGAGAAACTTCATTTTATCAGGCAGAAACCTTAGAGAGGACCAGACTCATGTTAGACAGACACCAAGAGAGAGATAGGGGGAGAGAGAGAGAGAGAGAGAACGAGAGAAGTGGAGAGAGAGAGGGAGAGAGAAAGAGAACAAGATAGAGGGAAGGAGAGAGAGATTGAGTAAGGGAGAGGGAGGGAGAGAGAGTAGAGAACGAGGGCGGAAGAGGGACAGGGGACAACAGCAACATTAAAACAACAACAACAACATCAGCAACTCATGTAATGGTGAAACAAAATGAATTCAGTTTGCAGGGTTAGGATATCAGTAATTATGGACAATGTCAAATTAATGTGATTACAGTCAGCAGGCCTAATAGTAGTTAACTCTAGTTCGATGTTATTCATGACATTATGTGCCCCTAACACACACGTGACCCTAAATACATTTTACAATTGGCACACATCTATTTTTAGTCACAAATGTGAGTGAAACGGTCACACTGTTGAACCCTGACCTGTGTGTAAAAAGAGTATTAACTGTTCATAGAAGTAAACTGTTTTAAATATTATGCATGTTCAATGACACTTTTTACTTTTTATTTAGTGACGTGATTGGACGATACGACACTGTGTTGACCTTATTTCCTATGCCCCTCCCTTCTCGCCTCAGGATGTGTTTTTGCGCCCATGTCCGCCCCTGTCGTCACAGGTGCTTGAATGCATCGTTTTAAGTGCTTTTAGGGACACGGTTTGTGAGGACTAATTTGAAGGACAGCTCTGACATCCTGAACAGGGACCCTTTTTAAGTGACCTGGGGCGACACCAGGAGAGCAGCAGTGACGCTGAGTGGGACTAAGCGCGGATGTTGTTTTTTAGGACGATTAACTCGCCGTTTTTTACCTTGAAGATCTAACCTTGGGTGGCCTACATGGAGACAACAGCAGGTTGTACAGAGGCAGGAGAGACCAAACAACCAGAGGGCGACTTACACGACCACAGGATGATGCATGTAGTCCTGTGGCTGCTGGTTTGTCAGACCTGTCCCCCCCAGCTCAGAGAAACAGAGCTCAGTCATGAGGAACAAACAGGAACATCACATCAGACCTGCGGGCGCTCAGGTTTGAATATGTGAGGTCTGAGCCGCGGTTTTCACTCATTAACCACCGTTTTATCGCCCTCTCTTCCTCTCAGTCTGACAATCCAGGTTTGATAGCTGTTTTATCCCTTTTTACCCAGAATTCCTTGTGTTTTTCTGGTTGTTTTCCCCTGTTGAGTGAACGTCTCTCATTTCGAGGAGGACTGACACTTTTATTTTGAGGCGTTTCTGTCTCCAACTCCAGTGTGTACAACAGTTTGCCTGTCTGCATGTGTGCACAGATGAGTGTGTGTCTATGTGTGTGTCCTTGTGTGTGTGTGTGTGTGTGTGTGTGTGTGTGTGTGGAGCTGCCCTTCCCACTGCCCTTGTCATACTGGTCCCAGTGCTGCAGGGCTCGTTGCTGGTTGGACAGCTTGGGTCAAGGTCTCCCCTCCCCTGATCTGACCGACGGGCTGTCACTTCAGCAGCAGACCCAGCACCACCGGCACCCGGGTCTGCAGGCACACACACACACACAACACAACAGACACACACACACACACACACACACAACACACAGACTTTGCACAATGACAAGCTAAAACACACACTGAAAAGCACTCTCTTGCATGTACACACTCCATGGAGCACACTCAGAAATTTACTGACAGTACAGTGTATCTGTGCAAACACACACACACTTACACTTTCACACACAGACTCACACACACACTCACAGAGGCCCCCGCCCTCCTGCAGATTGACAGTGAGGTTTATTGCTGCTAATACTCTCAGCTGTAAAGGCAGAGCAGCAGCATCCTAATGGGAAATGGACTCATTTCCTAACACAATGAGTACAAGGGTGCGGCACACGCCCATATTTGGTCATCGAGGGCGGTTAATCGGTCTGACCTCCTCTCTGTTGGTGCACGACCAAAGCGACCGCTCCCTACTTTGTCAAAGTTTATTTTTCCTGTCTCAGATTGTTGACCTGCTGCTTTTTTTTCCTCCTTTCTGCGGCACAAAAACGAAACAGTCATGCTGGTGTAGTTCACATTTCCGCCGCTGTATTCACGTGTTCCTTTTAAAAGATGAGTAGGGTAGTGAGCGTAGATAAACAGTCCAAATCAAGAAGTGTTTTAATGACAAATCATCTATTAGTAATGTGCAAAAACAGACATGAGAACAAACAACTGAATGCACGACTGAAAATGCGACTTTTGAGGGCTGTGAGATGAATTTGCTGCAAAAAAACTAAAAAATGTTTATCTCACATATAGTTTGTTTTTGTCGAAACTAATTTTGACAACTTCACTTTTTATTGTGCTGCAAAATTTAAAGGAAATGCAACATTTTCAGCCTTATTAGAATCAAAACAGACTGCAGAAGTGCATGCATCTGCATTGTTGCTTCTTGCATCGACACATTTTGTAAATTTGGACTTTAAAAGCTTTTCAAAACAGTTGTAAATATTATATCTGAGCTGAATTTTCTCTCGGGGAACAAAAATATTCCCGAGAATATTTAATCTCTTTGCTCAGTTTCTTATTTTTGTTGCATTTAAACACACTCTTAGCGCACTTTCGTCAACGTGATGGACAGAAAAGGCAAAATTTCTCCCTCCTCTTGAATCCAAAGTTAATGTGAGTCTCTGTCCCTCCTGTTTCCCCGTCCAGACTTTGACAAATCCTCCATTTTTACGCTCCTTTGAACACGAACTGCCGCTCTCCACGCAGTCATGCAGGAGCGGCTGCTGCTGCTGCTGCGGCTGCTGCTGACATGTTTCTGCATCTGAACGAATCTGCTGCTATTTTGGACTTTTCTTCATTAAAGCCATTAGTGTTTCATGAGGCTCTGCTGCGGCGTCCTCGCACTAATTAGGTGTCTATATTTCTATATCTGGTTATTGGATTTATTTTATATTGTGCTTAATAGTAAATAGTGTTTGAATTTTAAAACACACCTCTTGGGTGCAACATAAAGGGGAATTTTTAATCACATTTTTCTGTAAATGAAAGGACCCGGTCTGCTGCCGCCTTTTTTTTTTTCTTCTCCTCTCAAATTTTTCCCAACGTGTCTTAATGAGTTTGCAGGTTTCTTAAGCAGATACACTCTCTGATTATATTTTATGTCTTTTTTTGGTGCACACACACTGTATCTCTCAGCAGGAGTCCAAAATGAGAGATGGGTGAGGGAGGGTGAGGCGGTGGGGGGGTGATCATGATCATCACGAGGGGTAAAAAGAGGGATGTTAGTGGGAGAAGGAAGATAAGAGGAGGGGGGAGATAGTTGATGATGGTGTCCGCCAGTTTCCTCGGCAACCTATTTTATTTATTTTTCATTATTTATTCCAGAGGCCGCCGCGGTGATGAGGCGTGCTAATGTAGCGCGCCGCCCGCACCGCCTCTACCTGCTGACGGGCGAGGGGACTCGTCTCCTCGCGTTTCAGCCCGGCTTGACAATTAAGACCTGGGCGACTGTAGCCAGGGGTTAATACCGCTCATTAAAAGAACTAGGTCATTAGCGAAGAATCAAGGCTCTTAAGGCGGCAGGGGATGTGGGGTGGAGGGAGGAAGGGGGAGGGTTGATGGAGAGGAGCAGGAGAAGGTGGTGGTGGTGGTGGTGGTGAGGGGGGAGAAGCGGCGTAGTAAACTCTGCAGCATCTCGGTGAACAGGCAGCCCCTTACATTAATTAACCTCCCTTTTTCCTTGTTGGGGAGGTGTGTGTGTGTGTGTGTGTGTGTACGGGGAGGGGAGGGGGAGGAGGGGTGAGGAAAGAAATCCTCTGTTATCATATATGCACATGGCTGTACACCAATTAATTGCAGGGAGGAGAAAAAAGAGAAAGAAAGCTAGTTTACAGTCCTCCCTGTGGTCGCCCTGTGTTCCTGTGTGAGCCCGAGTTACATTATTTCAGAGAGATGAGGGGTGGGAGGGGCTGCAGCGGTGTGTGTGTGTGTGTGTGTGTGTGGGGTGGGGGGGTGTCTAATGTCTGTATGATGAGTAAAAAGGGTATTAAAATTAAGGAGGGAATCATGGCAGAAATCAGCCTTTGCTTTACCACAGGGGGAAAGGAGCAAATAAAAGCTGCGGAAATGAAAATAAATAAGCTTTGCTAATACCTCACCTTAAGGAGCCGCAGCCGTACCCAGCTGAACCGCGCTGCTACGCCGGTAATTTGTTTGCGGACTTTATTATTAAGCTGTTACACAGGCTGTTTGACCTTCAGTGAGGGGAGCTGCTGGGAGGGCTTTTTAACACCGATGTAGTGCGTGTTCAGACGGTAACAGACTCCTGTAATGTCAGCTGACCTGACAGAACACAGATCTGTTGTGTAACGTCAGCTCCGCTGCTCGAAGACTCTCCGAATCTGTCAGAGGAGGAGAATGAAGACAATGGCGGTGATTCATGTTTGTTATGAGGAAAATGACACATCATGGAGCAGACCACATTTGATGTGGGGTTTATGGATCTAAATTTAATCAGATTCAGATGTTTGATGGACTAAATCTGCACTTGTATTTACTGGATTTTTTTGTTCTTATAAAAACACAAACTAATGCAGAACTCATGTCTTCATGCACATAATGCATCAATGTTTTGCATGCATGTAGTCTTGCCTCTAAACTTAAAGCATCAATAATTCTACACAGATCCAACAAAAAGGTGTAAATTCATCGTGACAATACAACGCTTTCTTTTCTTTTCCTGCCAACGCTGCACGTCATCTTGCACAAAGATGTGTCTTCTTCTTGCAGAGTTTAGAGCCCATGATGGTTTAGATCTTCAGCATCCTCCTGTATGAAATGATTCAGACTAATTGTGCATTTCTGGATGTTTGCAAACAAACATTGAAGCACATGCACTTTAAAGTTCACCTGTCTGTGTGTGTTCGTGGTCTCCTGCGCTCCGTCACTCATGAGTCTGCTGATCGTCACAGTCGGAGACGAACAGCGTGTGTCTTTCAACATGAGGCGGGTCTGCAGATAAAACAGCTTCAGTGATATTTCGTGGAGGGCTTTTACTTTGAAGTGTAATTCAGGGAGAAGTCGGCGTTGTAATTCTTGAAAAGGTGGAACAAAACTCTTCACACCCAGCAGCTTTGTTCAGTAAATGTTCCTTCATTTCCTACAGCAAAGAGTCAAGAGTGTGAGAAAAGGAAAATTCAAGAGTAAGGGGGGTAAATTAGCCTTAATATCAGACCCTTATGACTGTGTTTTTATCTGCTAATTTCTCAAGCGTCATAATGAGACGGTGCCGAGCGATGGAGCGATTTGAATTTAAATGATATAATACTTGAGATAGCCCTAATTCACCCATACATATTTAATCTGACATATTATCTTGCTCCTGCGACGCCCTGATATGATATGACAGCTCGGCCGCTGTGCTGGCAGGAAGGAGGGGGGCGCGGCGTTAAAAAGAAAGGTGGTGCAGAATCCGCTCTCTGCAATCAGAGCCACTTTAAACGCCAAGTGGGTTTGTCTTCTTCGTGGCAAAGAGCAAAGATCTGCTGGTGGACGTAGTGGTGGAGTCAAACACAGAGATCCATGCTGATAGAGATTACAGATCGTATAACACCACTGAACCGCTCAGATTTACACCCTCATCATCAGCGCTCAAACTGCTGCATATGTTTTTAATCAGAGTTACGATGAGGATGTCTTTGTGTCCTCATCAAACCATTCACTCTGATTTCCTACATTTCCCAGAATGCTTCACAGCAGGATGTTCTGCGCATGTATTCTGGCCTATTTTCTGCTGGAGGCAGAGAGGAGATGGAGAATATTTGAGTTTCTCTGGTGAATCGCAGACGGACAGACGTCCTGCTGTCTTAAAACCGGCTTCGTCTTCGAACCCTGAACTGGAACGTTTGTTGAAGGTCTTCATGAGGTCTGATAGAGGGTCTGGTTTCTAGATTTATCCATATTGAGGCTGTCTCCACACAAACAGAAACCATTGATCCAAATTAAAGGACATTTACGCTCTTTTTTTCTGCTCTCATTTAAAGTCCAGGTTAGGTCTGAGCGATTTGGCAAAAAAAATGATCACGATACATTTTGCCATATCGTCCGATCTCGATTATTATCACGATTTATTTTTAACTGTCTGTTTTAGAGCATCTGTACTAAAAACTAAAGAAACTAGAGATAAGTTCAACATTTTATTTACATACAAAGTAAATAACAAAGAATAAGATAAACTTAGAAAAATACCCAAAAAAAAATTTCACTCAACAGAACAACAAATGTAGATAAAATACTAGATAATACAGTGAATTAGTTTACAGTCCTGAGTGTTTCTGCAGGTATGACAGACCCAAAATAAACAAATCTCCCCCTCAGAGATAATGAAGACACTTTAAAATGTAAACATTAGATGATTTAAACGTAAATCATACGATTAATCGCTGCCTAGGTCTGGTGGCTGCACCGCTAGTTGTGGCTAAACCGTTAATGCTACTCATACCGTCAGCAGTGACAGGCTGTACAGACTCCGCCCACATTTTCATGCTTTCCTCATAATCACTGGAGAGGTACTTCTCCAAATGATTAAACAGATCTGTTGTGTTGCTGGTTCTTGAGCGCACCGATCGCCGACATACCTCGCTCATCGGCTTATTTACTGGACGTCACTTTGGAGATACCCGAACCACCGCCACACAACTGACGGTGAATAACTTCTCAACAATAACAAAAGCTCTGATTGGCTGTTGTGACGCACATTTCCTCTATGTTTGATCGATAGCTGATCACCGTGATTGAACTGAAATTTATCACGATCATATAATCGCCCAGTCCTAGTCCAAGTGTGGTGGAGTAGTTTGACTCGACCACATCCAGGTACCTGACTACACCCGAGCTTCACTTGCTGCTACTGCTGTTCACACACAAAGACTCTGTGAACCTGCGCCACACTCACCTCCACTGTCACATGTCTCCCGTGTAGACCATAAGCAGCCGACTGTGTTTCTGTGCCAGAGGATAATTGCAGCTATAGGAGGGTAAGAAATAAGAGATCTGCTCAATTAACCAATACAGCACAGCTGAGGACAGCACCTGTGCACGGTGGAGCCCCGGCTCTTTTCCTGCAGATAACATGGCCGATTACCCTCTGGAGTGTGCAGCCGCCGCTCTGCCGCTCGCTCCGTTACCTGGTGCGAGGCGGAGAATAGCACATGCAACCAAAGCAGTGTGTTTAATCGCTCTCGGGGTGTTAATATGCACTCGTGTTCGGGGTGTAATGATGAGCAGTTCACCGGCTGCCAGGTTTGAACAGTTGGATAAAACCTCCGTGGTTGTGTGGAGTCGTTCACTGGGAAAAAAGAGATCCTGCTGTTTGTCTATATGAGCCTGAGTGAAAGTACCTGTTTACATTAAGAGGTGTGTTAACCAGCAGGCTGGAGCTATAAAGACAGGAAGCAGTAGAGAGCTGTTGGAAGATGGTGAGAGGCTAAAAATAAACCTGAAAGAAGGTACGCTTCACTCCTCAGTCTGTCTCTAAGACCTGTGCACTTTTTAATGGATAAAAACTCCTAAAATATATAAAACAAAGTGAAGTGAAATCTTTAAAGAGCATTATATACGCTCTTAAATGTAAAGACACGTATCTTATGTCACATGAAATGATGTTTCTGCCTCCATTAAAGCCCAATAATACCAGGATACATATCAAACATCATCATTAGAGGCTTTAAAGTCCGTCTTTTTTTTTTTTTTCGTCTGCTGCCAAACACGGCTTCACTCTGCAGTCAATAATTAGCTTTCCTGTCATTCCCCCCCATCGATGCTCTACATTTCATGATACCACATCAGAAGATCAAATAAACTGATGTCCCTGTCAGAGGGGTAAAATAAACTCTCTGCAACCTGGTTCCCCTGCACGAACACACCAGACGATTTCTGCTGGCAACATTGCCCCGAAAAAGGCAGAGAAAGTTGCTTAGCAGATGTCAGTTGTTGTGTTTATCTCGGCGGTTTTCCTGCGCTCGTGCATGGATCTTATATCAAAGAGGGCTTATCCGAATAAAGTGCTTAAAAGCTTTTCAGACGCCTGGTGATCTGAACAATTTTTGGCTTGATCTGCAGACTAAACAAACCATAATGATGCAAGCTTGTGTAAAGATGTACACAGCAGTCGAACAACAAATGCCTGCGCTTGATGTTTTTATTAATGTTTTCTCGTCTCCTTTTCATCAGGTTTGTCTTTATATCTCCTCTGTTTTGGGGTGGAAACACCAGGGGGTGACTTCTTGTTTGCTCCTGCAGAGGTGCAAAGAAAAGGACGGACGTAAATTCATGCACAAAAACGAAAAAAGCAACGTGTCATCTGCTGCTTCTGTCCTGGCCTTTGCAGAGTCAGATTTCCCTCGGGATGAGGGGGATTTTTCTGTGCAACATAATCAAAAATATTCAAATATTCCTGCAGTCAGTCAGGGAATGGAAACAATCCTGCTGCAGAAAAGGTGTATTTTCTAGGACGGTATAATAACTCCTGCTGTCGCAGAGAAGTAAAAGCGGCGACGGTGGCAGCGGCATTAAGTTTTTAACACTCCCTGTATTTTGTAACAAGGTTGGATGTGTGAAGAAAGTTAGCAGACATCCTCTCAAGACCTGCCCGTCTCATTTCAATGCAGAGAAAGGAGCGCCGGGGCTCTCCTCTGAAGTCACAACTTCTGGCTCACATGATGGGAGGCAGACGTCGGCGAGATGTGCGCGCTAAAGCCAATCAAAAGACCTGAATTCTATTTGTTTTGTTTCAAGGGAAGACGACAAAGGGGGCCTCAAGGTCTTCTTCAAGATGGCTCTGAAGCCTGAAAGGAGGAAAAACCGGGGGAAGAGGGAGGACCGGGGCTTTCAAGTGCCCGTCCTTGGTGGGACCTTTGCCGCGGTGCCAGGTACACAGCTTTTAGGAGGGGCGGGGGCTGTTTTTTTCATGTTAGTGCGTGGTTCGGGAGTTATTAATATTCTCAAAGACAGAATTTTCTCTCCCGGATTGAAATAATGGATCATACTTAAAAGGGGAAGAACTCATTTCAGGTTTTAATACGGTAAGCCTGTTGGAACCAATTATTGGAGGTGCTTTGCCATTGTCATCTTGCATTTCTCCTTGAGGAGATTAACTGGCGACGCTGAAAAGGCCCCGCAGTATCCGGGATTTCGCTCATTCCGAGAATCTGCCTGAAATGGAATATTTTTCTTGATTTGTGTGTATGTGTGTGCGTGTCAAGTTCCAGCATGTTCCACGTATTTTGGCTTCATGTTCTACCTAATTATTGCAATTTGATCCTAAAGCAGGAGTGTCCTAATCCTCTGCTGTACTGCAGAAATCCTGTTTCAGAAACTTTGGTAATAAATTTGGCCTGTTTTAATAGAGACTGGGAAAGTAGCGCTGTGACGGCAGAAGGACGGCCTCCCTGGGAAGAAGATCCTCTGTCTCTCCTCACATGCAAATTCATGCGCAGAGACAGAGGAGAAGGAGGAGGAGGAGGAGGAGGAGGAGGAAACTCGCTCAAAGTTGGAAGAAGTTGCAGAAGGAAGAAAGAAGAAATCCCTCGTTTTCTTGTGTTCTTCCTTTCCTGACTGTCCCCTGAACGCTGGAGGCTCTGTGTAGAAGTGTGTGTGTGTGTGTGTGTGCAGATGTGTGAGTAACAGGGTAACTTTATCACCCACAAAGTTTGCCTCACATAAAGCAGCATTATTCAAGCTCTGGGTTTGTTCTCCGAGCCGTACGTCACCTTAAAAGACTGAGACAGCTCTGCAAATGTGGAATAATGTGGAACACAGAGTACCAGCGTTCTCTGCAAACACACGAGTTCACCTTCACTCTGCAGAAAGGTGTGTTGAACCCGCGGTCTGGGGTTCTAGTCCTGATCCAAGATGAATCAAACCTGGAAACTGGCTTATCCTTGTTTCTAGATGGGTTTGTAGTCACCTGTAGTTGAGGTTTGCACACCTGAGTCAGAGGAACTCATCTCTTGTGCATCTGTTGTGTTAATCTAGACGTTTTTAATCTTTTAGAGTCAGCTGGTTCTGCAGAGGGCTGGGCGATAAAACGATAACGATATATATTGAAAATTGATTCCCCTCAATATCAATATAAAACATGATCAATATCCTTTTCAATCATCAGCTTACTGCCATGTTTTGGTAGACTTTACAAATTACTCCAGGTCCGCTTCACTCTCAACCAATCCTGTGCTGAATTAGAACCAAGTATCAAACAACTGCGTCGTAGCAGACAGCCGCTACACCCAACCATAGCACTTTAACATGTAAAGCTGAAAAAAGAAAATGGGTGCTAATGACCACGTCGTCAACGACAACACTGGCGTTAGGAAAACGTCGGTGGTGTGGAGGTATTTTGGTTTGTTGAGGTCGGACATGAAGCAGAGTAATGTGGACTGTAAATTATGTCGAGTACATGTTCTCACAAAGTCGGGGAATACCTCAAATCTTTTTCACCGCCTAAAGCAGCGCCACGCCGCAGAGCACGCGCAACGCAAAAGGTTACAAATCCCGAGAGGAGCGAGGAGCCCATGGCGCCTGAAACAGACGACCATTCAGTCGGCTTTCTCTAGAGCAACGCCTTACGACAAAACGTCAAAGAGACACAAAGACCTCACAGATGCAGGAGATTATTGTGTTGTAAAAGACATGAGACCAATAAACACTGTTAGATTTTTATATCCTGATATTGATCGATATCAGCTGAAATGATAAAAATATAAAGTGATAAACTTTTTCCCGTATCGCCCAGCCCTAGCTCTGCACAAACTCCATCAAACTAGATCCTGTTCTGGTTTCTGGACTGAGTCTGTAGTTCTGCATGATCATGATGGAGACAGTAAGTTTTTATACCCCCTCCAGCTGAGATGTAGATCAAGTTTCTCCTTTTGGTCTTTAGGACTCTCAGGACGACCTCTGCAGGTCTTCTTTAGGACCTCAGATCCCACGTGGAGAACCAGTCTGATAGCATGTGTCCTCCTCACCCTGAGGTTCCTCTCCTAAAACACGAGTCCTTTCCTTTTCTCTCTCCTCCTGAATCCCATCCAGAGGAATCAAAGATGGAGGTGTTACACCTAAACCTCTCTGCAGGACACTCTCCTTTGTTATTCTCTCATATCTCTCCTCCTCCTCCCTCCTCCACCTCCTCCTCCTCCTCCTCCTCCCCACCAGCACCAGGAGTGAGCATCGTTCTCGGATCATTACTCCTCAAAGAAATTTAAGCGCGGGATGCCATTTAATTTTTTTCCCCCCTCCCCAAACGCAGTCCGTCATTAGAAATCCTCGCTGTCATGCTGATGCCATTTTTGGTGCGCAGTGTTTGTTGCCTCATTTCTTTTAATTTTATCTCCATTAGCTTAATTCTTTTTTAATATTTCCATCTAACGAACTTTACAGTCCATTTTGTCTCAGTGTCTTGCTAAGCGAGTTTTATGAAGCAGGCAGTTGGCTTTTCCATTTGAGAGCGGGCGAGGAGACGGGGAGGGGGGGTAATCGAGGAGGGCCGCGCTGCTTTTGTCAGCTTATTTTTGGCACCTTAGCTAGCAGTTCTGCTTCTTCGCCTTGATTATACAAGCAAACAACTGCATGGAGTTCATTAACAATAAAGCACAGGCTAATTAAGCCGAGCCCCTTAGACAAACCAGCGCTGTCATGCCGCATGTGTTCCTCACTGATTGAGCCGTTAAAGATTTACCTTCGCTCGACTTTTACCTCCTTCACCGCCGCCGCTGCCGCCTCACCACCGGGGCCTTCGCTCATCTGTCTCTGAGGGCGTTCAACCTCGCAGAGCGTCAGCTGGGCTGTAAACATTTGACTTCAAGGTACAGTGGCCTTACAAGGCCAAAAGAGCTGTTTACTTTCTGCTCTCCTCAGAGGCTCTTTTAACCCTGTAGGTGCTGGGACGACTCCTATAAGATGCAGCAGTTTGACCTGTTTGCATGAAAAAAACCCACTAATTTATTATGTGTCAAGACGTGAAAAAGACAACCTAATATGGCAGAACTTTCCAATATAGCTCATGAACCTCTTTGATTATAAATTGGAGCGAATATTCTAAAATAAGGGGGCCATGCTTTTTCACGATTTCAGTACAGAGTATGAAAACTGCTGCTGCCACGAAATTTCAAAATATTTAATGTTCTTGTCTACTTCTAGACTTCTAGAATCAGCATCTCCTCATCCATGGTGTCATCGGGGTGAAATGACGTCTAAAAACCTTTCACTTGTTCGTCTCCGCCCGTTTGCATGGTGTGAAATACGATCCTCCTGAAACACGGAGTGTTTTATTTTGAAAAGAAGCCGGATGTTTTATTTTGTGTCTGTGCCTGAGTCCGGCGATCAGAGGAACGGAAAGAAGCTGATGGAAATTGACACATTAACTTGAATAGTTACGATCAGCTACGATCGGCTGTTACGGCCTTATCGAAACCAGTACACCTCAGTAATTCAAGGTACGTCTTATGCTTCCCAACAGCAAACTCACTGCAAAGACATGATAATGAAAGTGCTCCAGGCCTGCAGGGGGCGCTTAGTAAAACAGTTGATAGTGTTTTAATATTGATGGGTGTGAGTGAGGAAGATGAAATGATGACGCCCGGAGTCTGGCTGCTTAAAATCAAAACTTAAAATCCTGGACTTAATTGATTAGATAAACAATCTAAAGTTAAAGAGCAAAAAAGAAAAAAAGTAAACTGTTAAAAGAAGAAAAATCCATCAACCTCTAAAAGGTCAGAAATGTAAATTTGGCTGCTGCAGCATAACGTGTATGTCCTGATAGTTGAGCAGAGACTAAATCCATACCTGTTAAATAATCCGGATCTCAGATGTGAAAGGTTCCTGTCTATCCGTGCAACATCTCAGTGTTCCTGTTAGTCTGCAGGCTGAGATGCAGCTCCATAAATTACGTGTGAATCAGTCCCGTGTCTGCCCAGAGGTTGTGAGAAACACCATTAGCAGAACGGCCCTCCAGCCCTTTGTTAATGTAATTTGCTTAATTGCTCTGTATCAGTGTACAGATGAGACGTGTTCGCTCGCCGAGGTCCGCGGAGAGCGTTCTGGACATATTTATTTTAATACTCCCATCCTCTTATGGCTCCTGATCCATTTTTTATTGCTTGATGCCCGCTGACGACTCTCTGCATTTGATGAGGAGTTACTCTTGGAGGAAGAGTCAGGTTTGCTGGTTTGGTTTTGACTAATTTAAACTCTTTGAATGAAGATAATACCTGAATATATGAACCCTCTCTCACCCTGATCTTTCTAAAACCCATTTAGCTTGACTTTAGCCGACTATAAAAACCGGCTTCTTGATTCAGGATCCAAATAAATGTCCTCTCAGGTCTGTATCATGGAGGAAATCTGATTTACTGCGCAGTAAAGGCCTCCTGATGAGAGGTTTCCAAACCCTCCTGCTCACGACTTGTTGGAGGAATGACTCTGAACACCTGAACCACAACCTCGATCCTCCACCCGTGTGTTTCCTGTAACCTTCCAGCTGCAGCTTCCTCCTTCATCTCCTCCTCCTCGTCATCGTCTTCTTCAGTGTCTCTGTTTCACCCCGGGGAGTGACGGCTCCTCGCTCCCCGCTGTGACGGCTCCTCTGTGGTGTTTAATTACAGGGGAGGCCGAGGAGTCTTCCTCTCCTCTGATGAGTCGAAGGAAGAGAGCGGCGGAGGCTTGGCCTTGAACCTGGTAACACGGGAGCGAGCCTTCTGATTGGCTGTTTTTTTTTTTTGTACTTTTTGTGTTTTCACTCTCTGATTACCTCCATCGTTCAGCTTCATCACTGAGGTTCAGATTTTCTCACTTTATCGACTTCTTTCTCAGCTGTTTGGATTTGTAGCAGCATTTATATGAATGTTCCTGACTCCACAAACCTCACTGTCCTGACCGTGAAGATCCTCTTCAGAGCAGTGAGAACATTTATGTCATAAAATTAAATAACATGTTTCACAGAATTCCTAGAAATAAGATAAAAAGCATAAAAAATAAAGGCCTGACTGGAATGTCCTTATCTGCAGGGCAGTACGTCTTAACGTGACGTAAACGCCGTTATTCGCCTTCATCTGTTAAAGGTCCACATCGTGACGTTTATGAGGCTTTATGCATTCTTACATTTTCTACTTTAGAATCAAATGAACCCTGCAGGCAGGAAATGAGAAAAATTAGGACAGAAAATCCCTGAAATGTAGAAATGAGGGAGAGTTTCCTCCACTGGACCTTTAGGAGTTTCAGAAATCTAATCTAGAGACGTAAAACTCTCACTTTTGAGTGTATTAGTCCTTTAAGGTTTGTTGCAGTGCGTCTTAAAGTCTGTGAGCGTCACTTTAAGCTCGATTTTTAAGTAAGGACTAAAACCAGAGTGCCTGCAGGTAGAAACTCCCTCCAACTCTTTCTTCTCCCAAAAGGAGGAGATGAAAAGAAACCTGAACAAAGACTCAGTCGGTTTGAGGACGACGGGCGCGACATACGAGCCGTCAAACGGGGCCGATATGAATCTGCGCTGTAATTCAGAGAAAAAGAGATTAGAAGCAGATAATGGTCTCATATCTCAAAAGTTAACAGTGAGGCCCGCGTGAACTGTGAATAATCTTATAATTACTGATCTAATGCCATTAGGCCTGACAGAAATAGAGAAAGCAACGCTTGGATGGGGCACAGTTAATCAAGTGTGCGCTCCCTCTCGTTGGATCATCAGTACCCGCGCGCACGCTCGGCCCACGACTGATGATAGGTATGAGTTTAAATGACAGCTTAAAGGAACATTACGCCGCACTCATATTTGGTTAACTTCCCCGACCAAATGGTTCAAAAACGTGACATTTTTTTAATGCGCCTCACTTTCATTTCAGCCCCCTCCATTTGTGAGCTCGTCTTTTTTTCACCCTCCACTTCAGGAGGAGTTTCCGTTTTTATTCGCCCCGATCCTTCTGACATTTTTTTTTACTTTCTGCTGTTAGTTTTGAAAAGTTCCTCATGTTTTTCTTTTTCTTATTCGTTTCTTTTCTTTGAGAAGGATTTTCCTCCTTTTTTTTCAGCCGCTCCTTTTGTCTCTGATTACTCATTTCTCATTAATAGCTTTGCCTCAAATTCCTCTGACTTTATTCTTCCTGTCTGAAGCCTCCCTGTCCTCTCTTTTTTATTTTCTATGCCTTGATTTTTAAAGGTGTATTCGTTTTTTCCTCCACCTTGATTTTCGGGGCGTTCTTCCTCCTCTTTGTTGCCTTGATTCGAGCGTTTTTTCTTGCCTGGGGCTGTTCTGCAGGCGATATCCATCCTGACTGGAGTTCCCTCACCTTGCGCTCTCGTTTGATCTCGACACACTCGCAGAGGCAGACTGCTGATCTGTCCGTGTTCAGCGTCTGTTCCAGGTTGTTCTCACAATGTGAGAATAATAACAAAATAAAGCGCAGCGCCGGAGGCTTCCTTCCCGTCTCCCATTCATGTTGTTTTTCTTTTATTTCTCAGTGTGTGGGAGAGAACGCTGTGACAAAGTGCGCACCCAGAGTTTGACAGTTTAAAGAAAAGATCCGCCCTCAGATTGTCATCCGCCGTTTGATCTCATCAGTCTGTGATGTTCAATTTGATGGCAAGTGTGTTCCTGGCTGATTGTTGCTGCTGAAATGCTCATATTGTCTTTATTTGACCAGTGGGTAGAAGAAGAAGTAGAAGAAGAAGAAGTGTCTCTAAAAATGTAAAACTAGCTGCGCTGGTAGATGTCAGGAAGACTTATGATGAGTCTCTGCTCTCTGCTCAGGATGGACATGTTACAGAAAGATGAAGTTGACTCGACTTTAAAGTCCTGTAACAGTTAGCGCTCAATTTAGTCACAGTTTGACTTTGTTGAAGGACAGAAGACCAGCTTCTTTTTCAGATTTCTCCTCTGTTATCTCTCAGACTTGGCGTTGAGGTGAAAAGCAGTCAACATTATAATTTACCTGCGCACGCTATCAAGTCAAAACTTGCACAAAATCATGTTTCGTTGCAAAAATGGTCCAGAGGAGAAACTCAGCAGGAGGCGATTCTTAGTTGGAGAAGTGAATCTGCAGATTTAGACTCAGACAGGAAGACAAGAGTGGAAAATTCCTGCTAGGTGTTTGTTGAGATCGTACAGGTCGAAGGTTTATATTTATGCCTGGTTAGTGTATTTTTGTGTTAATATGGGACGATGCTTTGGAGCTAATGAAGGTCTGCAGGAAGAGCTGAGTTTAAATCTGTGCATGCGTCCCTCAGTGTGTCAGGATCTCTCCGAGGTGCATCTTTTGTTTGATCAAACCCTGAAAAAGGGCTTTACGTTGTCTGTGTTAATTGAATTTTTTCTCACCGGCAGAGTTATAGACCTGTAAATGCACAAAACCATCTTCTCTTCTTTGATTTCCTTGTAAAAATAGTAATTTTATGAAGACAGGGCTGAAAGGAGAGTGCAAACTTTCTGTAATTTAATGATAAAAGTTGTGTTTCCTGTACATGACCTGATAAAAGACGTACAGTTCGAGGCTCTGTGCGGTTGTAGCTTTACTGTCATGGATGAAAGTGTCCTTTTTCTGCCTCGACTTTGAAGCTCTCACAGCACTAACTGTTTCTTTTCCCCACGACCGCACGAACACGGACGAGCAAATTGTTTTTTTAACTTAAAAAGGATCATACCTTTAGCTGATCTCCGTCTCATCTGACTGAAACAACGCGCTCAGAAGCTCCAGGAATAAACAAATGTGTCGGATCACTTTGACGCTAATGGTGTCTCCCCAGATGAAGTTCCAAAATATTCAATCTTTATTTACAGGCGGCTACGTTTTGGGAGCCTCGAGAGTCAGACTTTTGATTACACAACCTGCCATCTCTGTTGGACGTTGGTCTTCCAGGGAATAAACATGGCCCATAATTAGAGGAACATGCAGATCTGCTAGATGAGCGGTGATGGTGGCGGGCTGACTGGACTGGTCTCTGGGCGGGGAACGGCGATAATGAAGGCGTTTTGAATTTGGGTCTGAAAGTGGACTGATGTGCTCCCAAACGGCTCCCCCTGACTGTTTGGGAGGGTTCAAACTTTTTCCTCAGCTTTGTGGCTTTGTTCTTTCTCACTTCACACATAATCAGGGTGTGTGTTAGTGTGCGTGTGTGTGTTTGTGTCTGTGTGTGTGTGTGTGGTGTGACAGAGGGGACTGCACAACATGTGGGACGTCCACCATTTGCAGAAACAGACACCTGCGACTGTTTTTCTCTGGGAAACTGATTTCTTTAATGTTATCAACAGTTGAAATCCTCTGAAGCGGATGTAAAATCCTGTATGTGCTGTAAAATTGGGCTCATTTTCAGACTCTAAAAATAGGCTGTGTCCTATTTATCTGTGTGACCGATATATACACACACACACATGCAGAGGTATTTTCTGTTTCTTTTTACAGCATTTTACCGCTTTAATCTAGTGACACCCTCTGGGCTACAGTACAGTGTGTGTAAAGACATAACTATTTGTTTGTACCAGGCAGTGTACATGTGTTTAATTTTGCTGTTAAAGTTGTTTTTTTAACATGGGTGACAATGAAGATAATTGACTTTTAAAGCCAGCCTCTAGTGGACACTTTTAGAACTGCAGTTTCTTTAGCACTCGATCAAATTCCTAAAGAGTTTGAGCGCTGAGTGTAAAAATAAACTTTAAAATTTCAGAGATTTTATTGCCTAAATGTTTTATTTACATTTATATTCTCCTTCTTAAAGCTTAATTTCTATCAATGAAACTCATTTTTCACATTCCAGTCAATCCAGTGTCTGAAAAGCAAACTGAAAACATACATTTTCAGTCTTGCTTTTAACTAAATTCTATATTATTAACTTTAGGAGTTTTAGCATGTATCTCTTTCTAGATTTCTATTTTGGTGCTCTTATTTTAGTCTCTTTTACTGTTATTTTTATTTCTTTTTATTTATTACTTCTTAAATTTATTTATTTTTTTCAATTTTGGATTTTAAACTCTTATCTTGAGTTTCAAAATGTGTGCTCACTTTTTTTTTTTCCATGAAATTGAGCCCTTTTTTAAGTTTGTGCATTTTAATCCTGTTCTGTTGTATTTAGATCCTGAGGTGGGAATGAGGGGTTGGGCTGGGGTAGATTTGGGTTTTCTTTGTTTCTTGTGCTGCATGGTCATGTCTGAAAAGTGCTTTATAAATAAAGACTGACTAATTGATTGATTAAAGGTTCAAAAACAAGCATACGTTAGCTCTGTAGCTCCATGAGGAGACAATCACTTCATGTTATCTTTGACATTAAGATGTTAGAAGTGTAATATTTTAACATTTCTGTAGTTTTTCCTGTTTTTAGATCATTTTAACGTGAAGCAGCCTCATGCTTTCATCCAAACCTCCGTCATTTATCAGACATCAGGCGCTGGAGTCTGACTCTGAGTCTGCTGGAGTTTAATTTTAAGAATTGGCCTCCAACTGAAACATCTTAAGCCCCTCCCACATTAAGAGCCAGTCAGCCAATCAGACTGCGCCTTCCTCTGCAGCTCTGCTTTATAAAAATATTTGAACAGCTAAGACTTCAGTCTGTGATGAAATATGCCCAAAATAAAGTCTTAATTTTCACGTTAATACCCTCTGTGCTTTTATTTTCCTAAAACATCAAACACAGATGACTTCCTCTCTGAAAATAACTGACAGCCCTCAGACGTGACACACTCCGAGTGAGTGAGTGAGTGAGTGAGTGAGTGTGTGTCACTGTACACATATGGGCCAGCACAGTCACACTCACCAGTTTGCAGGCTGTGTAGTGTCACTGAAGGTGTGTGTGTGCGTGTGTGTGTGCATGTGTGTGTGTTTTGAGTGGTTGTGAAACATGATGTGACGGCAGCGGGCGATCCCACGAGGGGCCCTCGGTGTCATGTCGAAAAAATACCATAACATGTGCATTACACTTAAGTGATTCTTCTTCCATCTGCTGAGTACGACAGCATTAGCATAGCCGTTTAATTAGCATCCCCCTTTAATCACCTCCTCCTATTTACTCAGACACGGGGAGCAGAGGGGCGCTCATTTAAGACACACAACACCAGTGAGAGTGATGAGACACACGATTGATGGAGGAGAGACCAGGTTCTTTTTTTTTCTTTTTTTAATGCAAACTTTATTTAAATTTACAAACCAGGACGTTAAGATTAACTCTGAGGTGAAATTGTGCATCAAACTCACCTTTTCAGCTGTTTTTTCTCTAGTATTTGAAGTCATTTTTCAAACCAAACTATCATAGATAAGGTCAGAGGTGTTTTCAAAGAGTCAAAGCTTCTCTGACGGAAATGCAAGGACAAAACTGCAGCAGATTATATCTGCAGAAAGTCGTCTTTGGGATGTTCCAGCTGTTCTTTACAGACATTATTATGGACATAGCTTTGTTGTTGTTGTTGTTGTTATTGTCTGTTTACAGCAGCTGGAAATTCCCTCGTACAGCTGACCTAAAGAATACCTTTTCTGCAGAAACTGATATCATGACGATGCTATTGTGCTTTTCTTTATTAAAGGTGTCTTAGAGGAATAATCTCTTTGCTTTGGGAAGATTATTAATTAGATTATATTCAGATATATTGTCATTATCTAATCTCAGGCTAAAATGGAGAGAGTCTGCAGAAGGAGCAACTGCAGGACTGAGCTCTTATTGGGGGAATTTATCCATCAGTTTACATGATGTTGTTGAATCTTGTCTGTCTGCGATGTGTAGATGCAGAGGGAGGCTTCCTGACACTGGCTGGCTTGTATAATAGGAATTTATCACAAAGACAACACCAGTATCAGAACAGCACTGCAGTTACTGGGAGAGAAACCAGAGTTTGTGATCCTGTTATGTAGGGTTAGAGGTTTTAGGTCCTCCTACATCCTCTGTTTATCTTTAAGTTATATTTCTTTACCATCACTATCAGTTTTTATTGTGCCCCTAAAGTTCTTTGTGCTCCTTGTGAAAAAAAAAAAAAGTGTCAATCTCTGAAGTCTGACTTTTTTTCTTTTTTACCTTGTGAAAATGTTTCATTCAGGTTTCAGGATGAAGCTGTTGTGCCTCCTTGAATCACTTAAATCTGTCTGAGTATAAACCTGATATTCTGAAATTATACAGTCAACTCAATCTTTCCTGGACGTGTTGGAGTGACTCAGTGGTTCAGTTCAGTGAAGTTTGATTCCTCTTTCTCGCACCTTCATCCTAATGAATCTTCCATTAGGTTTCTAACAGTAAAGAGAAAGATGTCACCCTCCTCTTCTCATCTTCATCAGAACAAAGCAAACACATCTGATCGTCCTTTCACCCCCTGCTCTTTCTCTCCCTTTCAGAATAAAACCATCAAGGATGGGTGGGTGGGATAAAAAATTGGGAGCCCCAGTGAATGGCTTACATTTACATTAATGAACTTGATTTGAATGGAGGTTCATATCAAGCCTCATAGATTCTGCGCTGTGATTTTATTAATTGCAACAGAGGCGTCATTGTTTGTCGTTTTGACGCCAATTCAATTAAAATCCCATTTAGAGGGTAATAGATTAGGCGGCGTAAACTTTATGTGACTAATATGAAAGCTCTGCTGCTAAACTAACTGCTGTGTGTTTCCATGCACGTGCACTCTCTCTCTCTCTCTCTCTGTGCATGTGTATCAGTCAATCCTGTAGGTGTTCAGTGTGTGTGTGTGTGTGTGTGTGTGTGTGTGTGAGGAATCGCTGCCAGCATCTGTGCAGCTCGGCTCACTTTGATTCATAATTGGTCGTCTTTTGAAGGAATTAGCAGCTTGTAATTCTATACTTTAATTTGAATATTCACAGTAAAGATGTGTAGGAGCCGTTCAGTCTGCTGTTGTGAACTAATTACATTTTATATAGCTGCCTTTAATTGTGGTGTTAATCACATGGTGATATATTAACCTCAGCTCAGTCTGTGTGCCGCTCTCATTTGAATATTAGCTGAAATGTTAGCATGAGTGCAGGAGGAGCGGGTTTATTCCTGGTCATTATGGGTGAGTTATTTCAGGAGACAGTGATGGTTTCAGGACGGTTTGTTTACTTTGGAGATGTGTTTTCACGTCAGTGTGAGGGGGGCGTCCTTTCAGAGGACCCTTTATCTGTCTTCTGCTCTTGTTTTTGCACAAATATGATCTGACCCTGAATAAAAATATTGATCTCTAGACACGATAAAGAGGCTGCAGGTCCGAGTGAAGACAGTCCTGACTTCGTTTCACTCTCCTCTGAGTCGGTTTAAAACTCTCTTTCTGATTTATTTTATCTGATATTTCTATTTGGATGAAAATTTTGAGTTCCTGTGTGGTTTCCAGCTCTTCACACTCACTCACACACACACACACACGCTGAGTCCACAGATTTTACAGCACAGATGAGCTACTTTCATGTAAATGAAAACATCATGTTGATCCAATCATAAAACAGTCAGTTTACATCTTCACGTAGTGGATTTCAGTCAGTAAAACAGTCTTTTCTCCCGCCGTAAAGCTGAATCACTGAGTATTATAAATCTAAACCAGATTCTGCTCGCTTTAATAACCCTAATCCTTTCATATCAGAGCACTAATCACACTTTTCTCCTTTATTGATACAGCACAGGTGTATTATTTACTCCCCGTGTTTCTCTGTCTGCAGATTTCTCCTCCAACCAGCCTAATCCAGCACCTGTGCTCAAACTCCTGCCAATACAAACTCACCGTGTTTTCCTCCTCTGCTACAAGTCTGCTAATTCACCCGGAGGAGTCGAGCGAAGTGCACACAACCACTCGGAGGGAGTGTTCTGCATTAAAAATCCTTTTGAGCCCGTGTAAGTTTGAGAAGAGGAGGAAAAGAAAAAAAAAATCGGTCTTTAATAATGCACAACCTGAGACGACGGCACAGAGCAATATACATTTTTAATTACTAAAGTGACTAATATCTAGGTTTGGCTTTGAGGTTTTTGTCCCATAAAAAATGCATTTCTGTTTTGTTCCCCGCAGCGGCGTCGGATACACACACCTGAGCGGAGCTGCGGGCTTTTAGCGCCGAGGAGGAAGTTCAATAACACGAGGCGTTCAGGTACTACATGCAAATAAGTGGATGTGAATTTTATGAGGGGGGAAAGTAAGCCATGCATACCTAAATACCTGTCAGGTTGCAGGAAGTCGGCCTAATAACAGCCTGAGAGAGAGAGAGAGAGAGAGAGAGAGAGAGTGAACTCCACTTTGCACCTCATGAGCTGCAGCCTCTGCGTAGAACAGATCAGATCTGATGTTTAAAAGACGGACATTTGACGCTCCTGTCTTTAAAATCAGATTTTTAGGTGCAGGTGACACATGCAGGTCGATGCAAAGGAGGTGTGTGTTATAAAAAAAGAAGAAAATTGTGCGGATTACACATCTCCTCTCAGAAAAGAGATCCTAACCAACACAAACCCTTTTTTATTTCATGTCTTTAACCTCAATTTAATCGAACAGTCTGTGCATTTTCAAGAAACGACATTTTCAATCCGACCAGAGCGTAAAAAGTTCCATAAAAGGATCAAATGCAGAATATGCAGAACTTGCAGAAGATGAGGGACGTGTTTTCTGAAATTTAAAGTCTGAGAGTTAAAAAAAAAATGTTCTTGAGTTTTAAAAAATCAACAGCGGTCCTGTTGGAGGAGTGAAATCAGGATAAAAAACACTGAACAGAGCAGGATTCAGGGCTGCCGCCGCAGCTGAAGACGCTCCAAACGAAACAGATTTTCTGCTTCTTTCTTGGACTTTCTCGAGGTGATGCAGAGTACTTTTGCACAACGGGGGGCGAGAAGGGACAAAAAAGAGAATTTTGCTGTGTGCAAAGTGTGTCTTTCTTCACACTTTCCCCATTTGTCTGTGCATTAATTGGAGAGCCTTCCCTTTTTAGATGGAGTGCATTATTTATGACGCAGCCTCAAACGCGCAGAAGACTTCCTCACACACACTCACACACACCAAGACAACCAAGAAGGCTCTCCTGACACCAGGCTCGTCTCCTGAGTGAGCCGGCGAGCGCCGATCCAGCCTTACCTTAGCTTTCCCTCATAAATTAAAGTTAAATGAACACGCTGAGAAAGTAGCTGTGGCCTTTAAGTGAAGAAGTAAGTCATTAATCAATCATGTGTCTCGTCACTCCGCCCACACCCCTCGTTTTAAAAAACCAATGTCCAAGGGGAGAGCCGGCTGCTAACCAGAGTTTTACATCCCACATCTCGAGTTTCTCAAAGATCTACAGAGTCTGCAGAGCCCAGAAGGGAGAGCCAACCTACCTAATTTGATTTTTGATAACTTATTCCTTCACTTCACACAGGCCCCGGTTTGATGTCGTATGCCGTTTCTGTGCACTTAGCTTCTCCTTTCTTGCACATAAACTCCCTGCATCACCGCGAGCTACTTTCTTCTCCTCTTAGGAGAAGACAAAGAAGAGAAAAACCTTCCTGCTTTCTTTTTTTTTTTTCTTAAAGGCCCAAACCAGCGACAGGCAGGCTCCTTTTTTTTCCTCCCCACCCGTGTCGATCCGTACCGGCGGGGGGAAAGTGTTTACCACGACTTTTCAAAGTTCAATCAACGCAATATGATGTCAATTAAAGGTGACAAAGAGTTTAACACTTCCATATGCGGCGGCAGAGCTTCAAAACCACAGACTCTGACTTTGGGAGTGGAACTATTAAGCGGGTGCCAGAAAATGTGCCAAGTGTCCATATGTCTCATAAGGTGCTCTTTTTTTATTTTATTATCCTTCAGAGTGAGATTTGTCCTCAGCAACCCCAGACTTTCTTCATTAAGTTAGTTAAAGAAGGAGAAAAAAACAGCACTTTACTCCTCCGCCTTCTTTCTCCAATTATTTTTTTAATTGTTGGATTCTTTTATGACTTGAAAGAGGCCCATGTTTTCTTCTTCTTCTCTCCTGGCCTCTCGCTGTAGTTTTCTGCTTTTGCTTGGCTCCTCTTAGCAAGATTCGGTCGCTTGTAAAAAAAAAAAAAAAACCTCCCGTCTGTTTCGTTATCTCCTCATCCCATCCACTCCAAGGAACGTTTGCAGAGTTTTCTTCCAAAATAAAAAAACAGAGAGAGATGCACCGTTGTTTTCTGCCATCCTGTGAAAAACCTCACGACTCAGAATCGGGTTATTTAAATGTAGTTAAGGCGGCACGCTGCTCTGCAGAGATTAGAAAAGTCCACAACTGTCTGGCTGCACGCAAACCTTTCAAAAGCAGTAAACAGTTTAAGTAAACCAGAATGCGGTGCCATCGAGTTAAATAAAGCAGCTTTTCTGACTTCCTGAAAAGTTGACATGGAGATGGAAGGTTTTTACTCGACAGAAGAAAACTGGAAAAAGAAAGAAGCACAAATCCAGCAAACATTAAGACGAGCGAGGAGACAGATTGCTCTAAATGGGATGAAGCGGAGTAAATAAGGCAGGAAAACGAAGTCCAGGACTGAAGCTACCTGCACTTTACCAGAGCTGAAAAAAACAAACTTAGGACAGAGTTAAAGTTAATTTTTAAAAAAAGGCCCAAATATTCAGTTTTCATTCTCCTCTTTCTTTAAATTTCACCCAAACAGGAGAGATTTTAGAGAAATGTCGCGTATTCACGCTCAGATTTTCCTCGTTCATTCAGCTCCGTAAAGGCTCCGGAGTTTGACGAGGAAACACGGTCACAAGTGTGGGTTTGTTTGGTGGAGCAGAGGTGGTGTGTTTTATTTAGAAGAGAAGGGTTAGTGTCTGCAGGTGAGAAGATCTGGATAAATACGGTGATAAAAAAAATACTTTCTTTGACTGAAGAGCAAAACGCCTGGCGAGTGGGCAGCAGTGTTTCTTTGATAAAACATCACACACCTGCACATGACGGAGATATGAGAACAGACAAACCCTGCACAGATGTGTAGATGTGTGGTCTGTTTTTGTGTATGAAAGTTTGGGTTGTGGTCCATCATTTAAGAATAGTTTAGTGAGCGGTGCAAAGACAGTTTCTGTCTGTAACCGTGTTCATTAGTGCAGCTTTGACTGTAAAATCCTGATAATAAACCAGATTTTTGTCCTTTTTGAGGATAAATGTCACATTTTTGTCCTCCGGTTTCATCTTTAGAAACTTTCTCTAAGCTGCAGAAATACTGAACGCCTCTTTAATTTGTTATGATTCATGATGACGGACTCTTTCTCCCTTCGTCACGCCCTTAACATGTCTAACTGTCCTTTGACCTCCTAACCTGCCGTCGTTTGTGGACTTGCAGCTCCTTCCTCGTCTCTCCTCTGAGAGTTTGATCTCGCTCTGGATGGCAGCGTCAGCTGAGCAGCAAAGTGTAACTGTAAAAAGAACCAAAGGGAGAAAAAAAGAGAGTCTATATGGAGATGATTCATGTGCGTTGATCTGGCAGAGCTGTGTCAGGCTCGTCCAACAGGAAATAACTGAGAGAGGAACCAAACCAAAGAGGATGAATTAGGCATTTCCTCAGAGACGCTGTTAACCCTCGCCGTGCCGCCGCCGCCGCTGCTGCTGCTGCTGCAGACCTCTGCACATCACAGACACATCCAGCCTTTCTGCTCCGGCTGTTAGATCAGATCTACTCAGAGGAGAACCGGGGGCTTTTATTCAAACTCCTCATGTTGTTGTTGTAGCAGAGAACATAGGACGTGTACGAAGCAAGAGGAAGTCCTGAAAAGGGCGAATGCTGTGGTATTAACCAGGAATCCCTGGATATGAGCGAGTGATTTCTTTAGGATCACAAACTTATTCTGTTAGAATGAATGAAAGGCTGTAAAAATGTGATTTTAAACACACTGAGGCCCCAAACAGACGAACTGAGTATCTTTAATGACTGGAGACGATGTTCGTTTTTCCTCCCTCTGTCGCTGAGTTTAGGTGAATTTCTCCTCATTAGGCTGAAACCCTCACCTGTTTTTATTCCTCTGATCAGTCCCGCCTCTGATTCTGTGTTTTTGCGTCTCATTAAGGTGTTTCGGGCCCCTCGGTGATTCTAATCAAATATTGTTCTACCAGCGAACGCAGAGCTGCTACAGTTTGGGTTGATTCAGGATTCATTTGCTGATTCGTACCTCGCTTGTTGCTCTTGTTGTTGCTGCAGCAGAGCAACGCAGGTAAATACCACTCGACAAACAACAGCCTGTAATCTTTACCTAATTAATTACCACACGAGCAGAGCATCTCCTCCTGCGCCTGCACTTTGTTTTTTTGAGAGAGGAACAGGGGAAGAAGAGGAGGAGGAGGAGGAGGAGGAGGAGGAGGTGTGGTCCCTCCTGGCAGCCGAAGCTGCTGAAGATCTGTGACAGATGGGGCCGAGTCACAAAACTCACAGCCTCGGGCGAGATTCATCCCCAAGAACTTTCCACAGGGTGCCCAGATTTACCTGATCAGAGAGATGTGGAGGGAGGGTGAGTGTGTGTGTGTGTGTGTGTACGTGTGTGTATGTGAGAGTGTGTGTGTGTGTAAGTGTGTGTGTGTGTGTGTGAGTGCTGGGCTCCAAAAATGTGCAGAGGAAGTCGAGGAAGCCTGGCCGCCTGTCATGGCTGACACAGAGCCCATCTGCCTCAAACCTGTGGCGCCCTCAGATTCTCCCCCTCCTCCACACACACACACACACACACACACACACACACACACACACACACACACACACACACACACACACACACACACACACACTCTCTCTCTCTCTCTCTCCAAACGCTTGTCCTTCTCCTTGCCACCCCCTCGACAAATGAAACACAGATCGGCACAGACCGTATGAAGACTACACATGTCGCCAGCTTTGCATACCTTCAAACGCACCGGGACTCTTTCTCCGAGAGTCACAAACAGAAACCATAAAGACCCGTTTATGCGTCCCATATGTGATGCCACATTGAATTTCCGGTGGAAACCGTCCCTCCCTTCTCCTCCAAAATTCCTCCTCTGTCTTCTCTTTCATGGATGTCACTGTGCGGCTCCAAAATCACGGCAACAACCGAAGATTTTCACGCTGCAAACATCCATAATTTTCTGGACAAACACTCGTTTCTCTGGAAATCGAGCTTCAGTCTCATTTTAGTTAATTTTTTAGCCTAATTACGTATTTCATCTGTTGTCAGGAAGTCGTGTTTTTGCATCAGTAAATATTTTCTTCTTTTTATTGTAGAAGTTTGTGTTTGCAGGAGCTTTCACTCACTTTGTTTGCCTCATTTTAAATTTAAAGGTTGCAAATTATCACATTAGTCAGTTAAGATTAAAAAAAAAAAACTGCCCTCTGGTGGTTCGGAGTGTAAATGCAGCACCGATTTGTTTACTTATCCAACAGCATGTTTTCTGTCAGAGACGTCGATGATATTTTGAAACCCACATGTCTGAACTGTTTCAAACTCGACTTTTTATTGTGGTGAATTCTTTTGCAAAATTAAAAACCTCACCGTAAAAGAAAAACTAATTAAGTGGGATGGATTTGTGCAGGAGAAATGATCGATCGCAGCGAGATTAAATCATAGAAAACAATACGGAAAAGAGAAGAAGGAGAGCCCGTAAAAAAAGAAACATAAAAACGGGAAACACAATCCAATCAAAGCGTCTCATGTTAAAGGTCTGTAAAGAAGTTAGCAGCACCGTTAAAATCCAGACAAAAACCTGTGATCAGACTTTAAATGAGGGTTTTATTCGGGCAGATTTTATTGAACAGTATCAATAAAGAGAAATGAGAGATTTTCTTTGAGCGGATCCACCTCTGGAAACCTTTCCAGACTGATTTGAAACAGTTTGACTTTTTATTTCTCCTCCTGGAAGTCTTCTGCTCTGAACTTTTCAAACTCTCCTCAAATGCACTGAAAAGTTCGAGCTCTCTGTTGCAAAAGTTCTTGAAGTTTTTATTTCTGATCAGGTGTGTTTTTTGAGGAGCGCTCCAGTCTGAGGGTTCGACCGGTTTGATGCAGCAGGAGTATCTCTGCTCAAGTTTCAGCGCTCCTTCCTCCTCTGCACAGATTCAGGAGTTGCACGTCGTCTAATTGGGGATTAAGGTGTGTTTCTGTGGCTGCTGCGAGTGTGTTACATCTACGTGTGCGTCTGTGTGTGAGGAGTGTGTCCAATTTTGTCGTCTTTTTGTGCCATCCACCTTTTTAGCTCCCGCTTCACTCGGTAATTAACACCTGCCACCTCCTCCTCCTCCTCCTCGGTGTGGAGAGTGACACTGCTGCGCCAAAAAAGCCTCAAGCACCAGTGTGTGTGTTTCAGTCTGTGTGTGTGTGTGTGTGTGTGACAGAGACAAAGTTAAAACAGAGACTGACGGTGTTATCATTTAAACTTTAGATTTCCAGTGTGTGAGATGATGTTTCAGAAACATTCGAGGTTTTGCTTCATCACCCTCTCCACTCTCTCAAATGCGTCTTATTCTCCTTTTAGCTGGTGGCTGTTGGTTTTATGGACGCTCCTTTTACCCCCTTTACTAACAACAAAGCTGTGGACACACTGAGACGCAGATTTTAAGATGAGAGAAGCACCAGAGTGACATTATATCTGAACGTTTTTGTGCAGGAAAAATGAAAGGTGCATGTAGGAAAATAAGACAATTAAAATGGTTTGATTTAACATGTTAGGAGGATTTTGTTTTTGAGTTTAATGCACACTGAGAATCTTTAATACCTTAAATCTGTGAAACTCCAGGTGTGATGTTTAAACCTTCTGCCACAGTCCACATATTTATTATTGTGATTTATGTACATTTTTTAAAGATTTAAATAGAAACCTTAAAAACTGCAGCTTCATATTTCTGCTGAATTTTGATTAAAACCTCAAATTCTTTACATTTTTATAAATTCTTGTCATGCCTCTTTCAGTCAGACGCAAAAAGAAAACTTTAATATTTTTATGTTTTAGTCTCTTTTTCTCTCTCTGTGTCGCACACCTGCAGATAAAATGTCAAAAACATTCAAGCTGATTCAGTTTTGCAGTTAAATTATTGCAGGTGAAAAAAAAAAAAGACCATATTATTTCCTAAAATATCAGTTTGTTTCCTTTAAAATCTTCATATCACGTCTGCAAAATTACATTGAGCACATAATGGGACACTCGAGCCTGATACTGAACCACTCCAATGATGATGATGATGATGATGATGATGACAATAATAATAATAATAAAGCACTCTAATTAATGATAAATATTCATTATTTATGTGAAACGGGATCTTAAATTCTCTTTCATGTGGTTTGGGGTCAGACTCCTCCCTGATGGAAGGGAAATATTCATAAAATACTCAATTAAAATGGAATCAATACTGCAGCTACAAATCAAATGTGAATTAAACAGAATATTATTCACTGATGAAATACGTCAGGCACATATATACACACATTTATATATATGTCCAGGAGGGAATAAAATTAGTGTATTGATTTAACCCCGACGTGTATTCGCTGTATTTACATGTACATGAACAGATCAAGTTGAAGATATAGATACTTTCCTCTGTCTGTGTGTGTGTGTGTGTGTGTGAAAGTATTCTGTATTTGTCTTCCTGCTCTATATGTGTGTGTGTTTGTGACTCTGTACGTGTGTGTGTGTGTGAGACTCTGAGTGTGTGTGTGTGTGCGTGTCCCTGCAGGACACAGTTTATGATTCCTCTCTCTGTATTAACAGCCTCAGCTGAGGTTATTCGAGCCCCTGGGTGCTCGGTAAAAACTGTCCTCCTACACAATTGAGCGTAGAGCCGTAATTTAGCCCCGAGCTCACCTACCCACAGCCACCTAATGCATGCTGGGTATTCACATGTGAAACGTAGCAGAGGAAATGGTACCGGGAGGCTGCTTTCACTTTGTCTGCTTGTACTGTGTGTCATTGTGTATGACGTGCAGCGTGCTGCTGCTGCTGCTGCTGTTGTTGTTGGGGGAACTTTGAGAGATACGGTTTTATTATGGGAGACTGTGATGTTTGTTTTTACTGTCCTCTCATTGAAGTGTGCATCTCATCGTCTAAACCTGAGCCTGATATCTTATATCTTAGGGTTTGAATCCCTTATAAGTGCTAAAATGATCGGATCAGCTTCAGCAGGTTGGAGAGATTGATTTACTCACATGCAGTGACTTTTATTTCGCAGTTTTCCTGAAGATGAATAAGAGACCGAATCAAGTCAGACCCTGTCCCATTACATCCTAACCCCCACCTGTGTTTGATCCTTTAATACCTAAGGTCGGGAGAACACAGCAGCAGCAAAGACCCTCAGGTTTCGAACCCTGCCTGACTGTGTTGGACCCTCTTTCAGACACACAGTTTGTTTGTCCCTCTGTCACCTGACCTCCTCTAAAAATCGTGTTTTAACCCTCAGAACTCCCAGCTATATTTTATAACTCTATTCTTCCAATCACAGCAAATATAAACACATCTTTGTTTTCATCAAAGTCAACCAAAAAACAAAAACAGACATTAATACCAACAGTACTTAAAAAACCACATAAATCTACAGTGACCAAGCCTTTTCTCACCTGAACATCATTCTCTCAAGTCTTGGCTATCAGGAGAAGAAATATTAGGATTGGAACAAACACAAAACAGAAACTATCGACATATTTACACTCATTCTTCCAGGTGTTTTTTTTACTATTTACAGTTGTTTCTGCCACTCCACTCCTGGGATGAGACAGAGGACCACATCATACTGCTCAGAATCTCTTCTTTACTTGTTTCCAAATATTGATTTTACAGACAAACAGGGAACTTTCTCGTCTCTTGTTGATGTCATCAAAACAGCTTGTCAAACCTGGAAGACATTTGTGGCATTAAGCAGCCTTTTTTTCATCACAACAATCTGATAAATTAATCCTGATTTACCATCAAACGTCTCTGATCAAACACCTGTTTTTGTGGCTGGATTGTAAACCTTATGGCAGGTGTAGAAATGTCTGGAAACCCTCGATAGATCGCCAAAAGGGTAAACTTTGAACACTTTTCATCCTGTAGAGATACACGGTATAGTTCCTGAGAAACTGTAAACAGTATTAATGGTGTCACATGTGTTAGTGTTAATGTTGCTCATGTCTGCTGGAGTTAAAATGATCGTGAGAGAAGTCGAGGACTCGTTAGTTGAACTTCTTCTTTGATTGTTGTTACCGTCGTTTAAATGTTTGCCTCTTTTAAAGACTTTCACGAACCCGCGTCCGTAAACTCACCGGGTGAAGAAGAAGTCAGAGTCTCAGGGTCTGCGTGGACTCGGGGTGAGGGTGTGTGTTTTTGTGCTGATTTTTATTTCTTTCTTTTTGGCCAGGAGCCGCTGAAAGCCTCACAACCAGGAAAAAAAACAACAACAACATTTCAAATCTCACTTTCAGGAGTCTGGAGTTCGGCCAACTTCATCAGAAACGAACAAAAAAAAAAGAAAAAAGAAAAAAAGCTCATATGGAAAAAAAAAAAAAAAAACACACATTCTGGTGAACTGCACACTTGCATAAAAGGCCTGTGCAAATATTGAAAGTATTCCTGAGCCAAATATCTCTCACAGACACATTTATATATATATTTGCTGTTCCCCTGTTACTCATCAAGATCTCTGTGGTTAACATGGAGGGGCGGGGGGGTGTTGGCAGTGTTTTCACCTCCCCTCCCTCCGTCTAAACCCCTCCCACCGCACAGAAACAAGTTAAAAGTCTCAGGATGTGATCTGAGGGGAGAAAACAGCAAAGATGTAAAAATGGAAAAGCAGAGAAAAGCAGGAGAGGGAGAAGAAAAAAAACGAGTGTGGAGGACGCGGAGACAGAGGGAGAAGTATGTGGCGGACATGTTGGCGGTCACGCTCTGCTATCACCTTCTTTTTGACCGGAATTCATCCTCCCCTGGCGAGTTTCTCCCATCTGTTCCTCCACAGAGCAGCAAACTCTGCAGCTCCCACTGCTGCACGCCGCCGCCGCCCCACCTCCAAACTCACGGCGCCGACAGAAAAACCGCCGAAAAGGTTTTAATGCACATTTGTTTGGACACTTGAGGAACTGCAGCGGGGTCTATTTTTACACACTTTAAATATCGATCATTTTCAAGGACTCTGCGTGAGCTCCGGGTTAAAACTAAAAACACATTTAAACATAAAATCAGATATTTTCCTCTGAAATGGTGTTAAAATGCTCATGAAGTCAAACGTTTCTGTGTGATTCGTCCAGGAGACGAGCTCCTCCTCTTTGAAATCTGATTTATTTGTTGAATTAGCGCCTCGTCTTCCTCCTGAAATCTTCTTAGTTTTGTTTTCCTGAAATTTTCCCACAATCCGTCACCCAAAGTCGAACAAATCAGCTTTAATTCAGCAGCTTGAAGGGAAGTGAAGCTTTAAACATCACTGGGGGGACAGAAGAAGTCCTCCTCCTCTCTCTCTCTCTCTCCTCCTCCTCCTCTCTCTCTCCTCCTGTGTTTTTTATCTATCAGCTAAAGACATCTTAGTGAAGGAGCGTCTTTGTATTAACTTTTAAAAATTCCAATTACAAAGGAGCTTTAAGATCTCTCTGCGGAGTTTGACTTAGAGTCCGTGTTTGATCTCCGTCCTCCACTGGGACCTCCTCCTCTTCCTGCCTCTTCACCTTCTCTCTCTCTCCTCACATTACTCCTCCATCACCCTCTTCCTCCTCCTGTCCTCCTCTACCTCCATCTTTTTCCTGTCCTTTACATCCTCCTCAGTCTTTCCTTCTCCTTTCATGACCTTCCCTCTCTCCTTACTTCCTCTTCGTGTCCTTTCTTTTGCCTCCTTCCTCCCTCTCTCCTCCCCTAACCCCCCCTGTTTTACCCTCCTTCCTCTTATCCTTCCTCTCTCACCTCTTCCTCCTCCTCTTCTCTCTAATCCCCTTTCTTCTTCCCTGGTTCTAATTTTCACCTTCTTCCTCTCCTTATCCTCTTCTGCCCTCCTCCTCTTCATCACTCCTCCTTTTCCTCTGTGTATTTCTCCTCTTTTTCTCAGCCTTCATCCACCTCTCCTACAGGTTACAGCTTTCTTTTACCCTCCTCTTCCTCTTTTGTTGTCCATCTCGTCTCGCTCCTCTGTCTTTCCCTCGTTTTTTCTCTTTTCTTGCTCATTTTCTTCCTCTCCTTTTTCTTACACTCCCTAACCGCACTCTTTTCTCCTCTTTTCCTCCAATTTCTCCTTTTTTTCCTCCTCTCCTACATTTTTTCTGTCTCTCTTTCTGTCACTTCAGCTTCATCCTATTTTCCTCCTCTTGTTTACTATTTCCTTCCACTTGAAGACCCTTATTTTCTCCTCCTTTTATTCTCCTTCTCTCCCTCTTCCTCTCCCTTTTTTCTTCCTCTTCTTTCTTACACTCTCGTTCCTCCTCTTACCCTCTTCTTCTCCTGTTTACCCTTTTTCCTCTCTCTTTTTTTCCCTCCAGCTCTCCCCTATTTTCCTCCTCTTGTTTACTATTTTCCTCCACTTTAAGACCTTTATTTTCTCCTCCTTTTTTCTCTGTCTCTCCCTCTTTTCTTCCTCCAGGCTCTCCTTATCTCACCTACCTCTTCTTTCCTTCTGAAAACATCACTATCTTCCTCCTCCATCCCTTGTTTTTCTCTCTCCCTGCCCTCCCTTTGTCCTCTCCTCTTTCTTCTTGACTCCTCCCTTGCTCCTCCCCGTCTTCTGTGCTCCTCTTCCTCCTTTTAGCCTTCTTCAGCTCAAGGACTCTGTAGTGGAAATCACCACATGGGCTCCAAATCACTTCCAAAAGCGTTCATCACTTCATCCTCTGAATCCTGCAGAGACAACAACAGCATGGCTCTGAAGTAGAAGAGTCCTGCTGCTGCTGCTGGACTTTGAAACACCCAAACCGGTCCACCTCCACGTTCCTCACCTCTGAGTGTGTGTCTGATCAGAGTGTGTTCAATAACAACAGACGCCGTCTTACACCTCGCTGAACACCGCTGCTAACAGAGAGTCGACAGCATAACGCCTGTGTGCAAAGTGTGTGTGTGTTTGAAGAGTGTGTGTGTGTGTGTGAGAGAGAGAGAGAGAGAGAGAGCAAATCCACCTCTCTACCTTTTCGACTTAATAAAGGAGTGTCTCGGTAACCATTACCCCCACAGCCATGCAGAACAAATTACATTTAATGGGGTTTCTTTGCCCCCACAGTCGTTTTCAGCGTTCGCTTCAAAATTTCAATTTAGTGCTTAATGCTAAGGTTTCCTTCAACGTATTATAGAGCAATATTATACCAATTACGGCGTCTGCGAACATTAAATTAAATGCATTAGCACAATATTGGAGAGAAAAGGCAGCCGTTTGAGACAAGTTCTGTTCCAAAGCGATGCAGGCAAATGATCCGGGATATGAAAGGAGGAGAAAGCAAAGAGGCCCGACATCCAAACGCAATTATGTTTGTTGTCTTACAGTTTTATCTGTGCTGAGTCATTTACTTTTTGATATTCCATATGGATTCTGTGGAGCCGACAGCGTCTTCATTTAACACGCTGCAAATCACTGAATAATAAGTGAATCTCAGCAGAGGTGCTTGGAGACGGAGTGAGATTAGAGCTCACAGGAGGAACGAAGGGAGGGAGGGACGGACGGACGGGGGGCATTAACCTGGACCCACATCCTGCCCTGAGCATCTTTATTTTGTGAGTTTACCTGCAGGCTGCTTTTAGGATTTTAATGTCACGCAAAGTCACGTCTGTGCAGAGGTGATGCAGATTTATTTGTATATTTAATAAAAGTATTGTTAAAGCCCTGACCCGGTCGACCCAGGTCCTGGTTCTCCTCCTAAAACCATCCGAGCTTCATCACGTCCGTCACTCTGCAGATGCTCTCTCTCAGGCCACATGTGACCCGTCGGAGGGGGAACCGGGAAGTACAGCGGCGCGAGCTCTGGGGGTAAAGACGGCGAGGCAAAGAGGAAAAAAAAACAGATGGCTGGACGGGACCAGGGGAGGACGGGTCACGTGACGGGGCGGCGTGCCACGGAACTTCCTGCTCGCGCTCCCTCTCTGTCGCAGCAGTTGGTGTCACTACTCGCGCCGTCTGCGTGAATTCGAGGCCCCGGCTGAACAGATTGGCCAGTCGGCGAGGATCATTCGCAGAAAAACTCCGCTAATCTCCCACCGGCTGCCTCGAGCACGCTCACATACACTGTCTCTCTTTCTTTCTTTTCTCCTCAAAACTGTGTCGAGGGAGGGCGCGGGATTTACAAAACATGTCATCATGAGCTCGATCCAAACCCGCATATCCACCGTTTGGAGAAAAAAGAATACCTACTCTTACAAAATGAAGTTTTTGACCATCTTAAAGGGGTATTACACCATAAAACTCAACACGTTTATGTGTCTGGTCTAGAGAAACTTGGACAGCTTTGTGGAGCTGAGGTTCAGCTTCTGTACGTGTTTTTTTTTCTGGAGGGAGACGGTTTTCCGACTGTAGAATCAAACTTTAATTGATCTTCTTTCACTTGATTTTTTAAAAATATTTTAAGGTGGAGAAAAAGAGAAAATACTGAAGTGAAAAAAGGAAAATACCCACAATCCACTGTGGAAATATTGGTACAGACTTCGACATGCAACCGTGTAAGAAAACAGAAAATGCAAATTGAGTGAAAGAAAGTGACAGTAACATCCAAACCCAATTATATCAGGCCATATGTAGCCTGTGCAGCATGAGAGTAATGCAGTGATGCTCCCCGCCCACATACAAGATCAAGTTAAAAAACGTTTTCCTAGTTTTGACTAATATCCATAAACGGACGCTTCGTTTTCCTAAAACTGCTCTCAGTAAAATGTTTATTTTGTTTATTTTATTATTAGAGACAAAGACTTACAGGTGCATTAATGAGCTCTCTACAGCTGTATTAATTAGAAATTTACAAATTGAAATGTGGCGCTCACTTCACGACTTCAAATGTCAAGTGTTGAAGATGAACTCCTTTGTTTTTCCCACTAAATAACTCCTGTTTCCCTCTTTCTCTCTCTGTTTCCTCCCTCAGTATTCTCCCTGCGTCCAGCTCGGTGCTTTTGTTTTTTTCTTTTTTTCCACTCTCGGAGTCGAGGAGCATGAAAGTGACTTCCTCGATGGCCTCTGCAGCCCGCGGCGTTCTGTTCAATCCCTCCATCGCCGTGATGGACCACGGGGTCACGACTCGCTTCCTCCTGGAAGATCGCCTGCACTGAGCGCACGCCGAAGATGGTGAGGACACACACTTATGAACACACACACACGCACATAGGCTGAGTGCATCATATACGTTTCAGACTGCGCTCTTAAAAACACTCCAGTTTGCACACAGAGAGGAAAGCTGATTTTAAGTCGTTTAAGCACTTTTTTTAATCGATATTTTATTTATTTTGAGTGAATTCAAGAGTTAAAAAATGTCGGGTTTTCTTTGCGAGTTTTTTCATGCACTAAAAATCAAAATCAAACATATTTTCCGTTTTTATTCTCTCCTGTATTCGCTCCAGATTTTAACTTGCCAACACATCAACCCTCCACAGTTATATCACTTAAAATAACTCGTATTTACAGTAAAATAGGAAGGCGACAGAGGCTTGATGCAGAGCGTTATAGTGTATAAAAATAAAGAGATAAACTCGAGTAACCACGCTCCTCTTTGAGGTGTAAACTTATTACCCAGAATCCTTTTGACACCATCAGCACCATAAAGTCCGACACACCGTCTCCGCTCCTCTCTGTCTCTAACAACATCTCTCTTATAAATTTAATAAGGATTGTAGTAAAGCTCAGCCGCACTGCTCGCTGACATCGCTGTGTGAGCACTTTGGAGTCTTTACGAGGAGAGTCCCCCCCCACACACACACACAAACACACACACACCTTTTAAAGGACCAGTCTGTCATTTTTGAAAACAACAACACATCTGTGCTCTCCCTTTGAACATTATTTCAGGTCTAAATGGAAGTCCAGATCCTTTCATGAATTTTAATTGAAGATTTCCCTCCTTACATTTCAAGTTATCGACGTTTTAAAGTAAAGTTTTAAAGCATAGATGTTCAATATTCAGACATTTGCAGTCATCACATGTTCCGGTTTCCTCGCTGCTCTTTGGCACGTCAGAAAGTTCCTGCTCTGCACTCAAATTACTCTCTGGACTCTTGGCTTCTGCTCAACGTCCAAAATCTGCAAATTATGAAGAACAAGAGCAGGGGTCAAAGAAGCAGAGTGGGCTTTTTTTCCTCCCAAAATGTAGAGCGAGTGATGTAGCTGACCTCTAACAGAGACAACACAAAGAAAATCAAAATTCAGGAGCGTGTTTATTCATGTCGAGTTATTTCTTTCATTTTGAGATACTGTTAGATATGATATAAGCTACATCATTTTAATACTAATGAATTTAACTCAAAGGAATACAAAAGAATTCAAGTATGTATATGGGTTATTTAGAAATCAAGGTTATCCTCAGGTTTGACTTTGAAGTGGAAACGTGTTCAAGCAGAGAGAAAAAGTTTGTATCATTGTACCTTTTGTGCCCAATTATGTCATATGTTATTAAAATGATAAAGGATGATATGATATAATGACATATGATACAGTATAACATAACTGTAGTCAACATGAGACTGTTTCCTTTCACAGTTTTGAGTCATATTGTGTTTTATTTGACTAAATCATGTTTTTCTACAGCTGATAATATGATACGAGACGAGACGATGAGATACGAAATGAGAGGATATGACACAACATGTATTATGATATCATATGGTATGATAGGAGGCAACATGATCCAGTACAGTACTGCAGAATACCACAGTATGATTTTCAGTACAGTACTATAAGATACAACACTAACTTCATGTCATATTTAAGTTTGCTGTTTCTCATCATATTGAAGTTCATCAACCAGGAATATGAGTCTGCAGAAGATATCTTCTCATGATACAATATGATATGATACAATTAGGTGCAACACAATACATTTTGGTGCCATATGATAAGATACACTACAATATGATATGTTATAATACGATATGGTATAATACAGTATGACAATATTATGATACAGTATGATACAATACAATACAATACAGTATGATAGGATATAATACAGGATAATTGAATATAATATGATATTATTGAATGATACAATATAGTACAGTATGATACAGTTCAATATGATAATGTTGTGAGACATCATGATACAGTATGGTATGATAAATTATGATATGATACAATTTGATACAGTATGATACAGTATAATAACATTAATGTACAGTATAATACAATACAATACATAACCTATATGATACAATACAATTTTGAAAAAATATGATATAATAGGAGATAATACAGGATAATTGAATATAATATGATATGATACAATGATAGGATATATTACAGTATGATACAGTGCAATATGATAATGTTATAATCTATATCATGATACAGTATCGTATAATAAAATATGATATGATACAATATAATAGGGTAGAATACAGTATGATAATATTATGATACAAGATGGTACAATACAATAGAATATGATACAAAATAATACAGTTTGATAATATTATGAAACAATATGATACAGTATATTGCAATAATATACAATATTATCTGAAACAATAAGATAGGATATAATACAAATTATTTAACTAAACAGAAACACAGTATCTGATCTAACGGGGTACTCTGTTGTCTTGTAAGATGTCACACCATATCATATCATGTTGAGTCATGCTGTACTGTACTGTGTCAAATGAAGTATAATTTTATAAAGTTCTTACAATAAGAGCTGGTATAAATATGAGACAACGCAAAGTGATACAATACTATTTAATACAATACAATACGATAAGGATGGACACAACACGATACGCTACGATACAATAATAATACAATACAATTAGACTTGTTATGATAATGATAGGACATGTTTAATCCACAGGAGGTCAGCGTTCCTTTGACCGCAGCGCTCCACACTCGTACTAAACGACAGCCTCCTCCTCCAAAGTCAGGGCTAAAGTTTTCAGCCTCGCCGCTTTGATCTGTTTCGCACTTTTTAAAGGAACTTTATGGTCTGCAGACTGTCAAATATGAAAGGAAATGGTGGGATACAGGGCCGGTTAATTCAGTCAGCAGCAAAGCCTTATCAACCTCCTCTCTGCTTCTCCACTGATCTGTGTGTCTAATGTCCCTCATCCATTAAAAACCATGTTCAAACGGACTCCACCCACCTGGACTTAACCCCAGCACAGAGATTAGGCCTCCTCCTGCCCTCAGAGCAGCTCCGCCTGCAGAGAAATGTGTGTACAAGTGAAAGTGCGCCGTGCGACAAAGCCACACCGGATTTATTAAAACCCACTCCAAAACGTACTCCTGCTTTATCCAGCAGAAAACCCGTGTGGCGTTTTTATACCTCTTGGCTGCGGTGGCGAGGCAGCTGAGGAGACGAGCACCCAGTGTACTTTAAATGTGTGAAATGTGGCGAGGAGAGGCGTCAGGGACCACCAGGTGCTGCCTCTCCACCTCGAGCGGGCCGAGGAGCGCTTCTCCTCTCCAATAACCCGGCGGGCTGAGATGCCACTCGCAGCAGCCGAGCCAAAAGACATTTCAAGTGTGCACTTCAAAGGGGCCTTGGATTATGTTCGCGCACAGTCTATCCTGAGGGGATCCTTTGAAGGGAAACTTACTGCAGAGCCACTGGTGGCCGCTCAGTCTGTGTGTGTCTGTGTGTGTGTCTGTATGTGTGTCTGCGTGTGTGTTTGTTTGTTTGTCTAAACCCATTTTACTCACTGCTCCTGTGCTGCGGTGTTGGGAGGGGTTTCCTCCTGCAGAACTTTCAGTGTAAACAGAATTTCAAGAGTTTTAGTCCAAAAAGGAGAGAGAGTTCACTCTGGGAATACCAGGCTTATTTTTCAGATTTCTTCAACAAGGAGCGTCGAGTTTGTGCATAAAACATGTCATTAATACCTGCAGGAGTGATACCTGCATTAAATATGGATGAT